GATTGCTCTGGTGTTTAAACAGGTGAGCAGAATGATCCAGTATTTTAAATTGGTGTTCTCGTCGTTTTTTAAAAATAGCGGTCCTGTGGAATCCATCCCACAATTTTCGAATGGGTATTGTGGTTTTCTTACTCTTCTTTCCGGATGTGCTGGAAATTCCGGGAGCATGAATGGTCGAGCCTTGTACCGTTTGCAATGATAACATGAGTTATTGATGACTCGCTTGACTGTTGTCCGACCTTTTGGTATCCATACGTTACGTCGTACTTCGCACAATGTTTGATTCACTCCACTGTGATGATTTTCTTGATGAATGTGAAGTATATAAAGCGATGTTACGTAGTTTTTCCGTGGAAGGAAAATTGGAGTTGTCGTCTCCTGCGGCAGATCTGCGTTCGAAATTCGTCCTTTTGATCTCCACAGAGTATTACATTTGTAAAGCTGTAGTTGCTTCTTCAGTGTGGAAGAAGGTGGGTTTTCCTCCTGTGCAAAGCGAAACAATATGGCTGCTGCTTTGTCGAATAGCATTGATGGGGATTGTCCAAAGACTTGACGTGCTTTTGCTGATTTCTTCGTGAGGAACAGAAGGATAGTGTACATCGTGCGAACTAACCTCTTCCATGTGCTAAAACGAGTAGTGTCGATTAGGCAGGGTGATCGCTTTTCTTCTTCCGCATGCAACGCATGTACAGCAGGATCGGACAACGCATGTACAGCAGGATCGGATGTAATGTCAACTGGCCACATATTCTCAGGCTGAGATAGAAAGTCTGGGCCTTTCCACCATAGTTGGAAGTTTTGTAGATCATCTGCGTTTGCTCCTCTACTGCCCACATCAGCCGGATTATCTTTACTTGGTACGTAGCGTAACTTTGTGTCCGGTGCATTTTCTCGGATAGATTTCACACGATTGCGAATAAACAGCGGGAGATCCTTTCCTGTTTTAATCCATGTGAGGGCAACACTGCTATCTGACCAAATGATCGTCTTCGTTACTTCCATGTCCAAATTCTTGCTGATGTGCTTAAGAAGTTGAGATCCCTAGGGCAATAGCAGAAAGTTCCAAACGAGGAATTGACATTTGTGTCTTTCAGTGGAGCGAGTCGAGTTTTGGACATGAGTAGTGATGACTTTCGTGTCTCAGAAATCTCCACTATATAGGCTACTGCGCAGTATCCGGCTACAGAAGCGTCTGAGAAGACATGTATTTCGAAGAGTGATGATTTGGTACCTGTAGTTACTTGTCGTGGGATAGTGAATGTTGTGCTTGTCCACTTCGAGGTGATGGTTTTCCAGTTCTCCATCAGTTCACTTGGCAGGGTTTGGTCCCAAGAGAGGCACTCCTTCCACAATGATTGCAGGAAGACTTTGCTGGAAAAAAGTGCAGGAGAACACAAACCAAGTGGATCGTATGTGCTGGCGATTGCTTTTAGGACTTTTCGTTTTGTCCAGTTGGATTCTTCTGCTGGAATCGTTGGTAGTTGTATGGACAGCGTGTCTTCTGTCATGTTCCACGAAATTCCTAGAATTTTGTTGTTATTGGGAGGAACTGATTTTTCTTCTTCTGTGAAGAATTCATTCAGTTCTCTGGAATTACTGCAGTATTGGCGAAGATTCATTCCTGCCTTTTGGAAGAGTCTCTTAGACTGCCTGTAGAAATCTTTTGCTTCCTGTACAGTTTCAGCTCCATAAAATATGTTATCAACGTAGGTGTTCCTTAGGATTGATTGAGCTAGCGGATTTTCTGACATCTTGAGATGGTAGTGTATTGTTCCTGCTAGTAAAAAAGGCGAAGTGATCAGGCCAAATGGAACTCGCCGAAATCTGTATGTGACGATATTTGCAGGAGTTGCAGCTCTGTGTGGATCCTTCAGCCAAAGGAATCTCGTGAAGTCCCTGCTTTCTTCATGTAGGCCTACCATTAGAAATGCTTTTTCGATGTCACTCGAGATAAGAATACGGCTCATTCGGGTTCTCAATAGTATTCCGCTTATATCGGGAAGAAGGACAGGTCCTCTATGTAGTAGCTCGTTCAGGCTTGGCTTTCCTTTGGTTTTTGCTGAACCGTCGTATACGCATCTTATCTTTGTGGTGAGTTTTTGTTCCTTGAGTACGGCATGATGAGGCAGGTAGTGGCAATTTTCTGGGATATGATTATCCTGTACCTGTTCGATTATCCCTGTGTTGAGCTGATCTTGGATGAGATCGTGGTACTTTTCCAACATTCCGGCTCTGATTTCGAGATTCTTGACATTGTGAAGAAGTCGAGCATACGCAAGTTGAAAGTTATTGGGTAGTTCTTCTTTCCTTCCTTTGAAGAGGAGCTGTACCATATAGCGTCCTTCGTTTTCATCGAAGTATATGGTCTCGTTGAACTTCCTCAGGCACTCATCGTCTTCGGCTGTGCGAGGGCTGTCAACAACCCCTTCAGTTTCCAGATCCCAGAAGCGGTGCACAAGTGTGTCCAGCGTTTCGTTGCTCATGGGCAATGAGTTGTAACAATAATCGGAATTCTTCAGTGTTGGTAGTGGCTTTCCTGTTACAATATCTCCAATTGAAGAGTGGACGAGGTGGTATCCGTTTGATAGATTTTTGACGTAGAATTCTTCTGAAAGTAGAATTTCCCAGAAGTAATCTGAGCCGATCAACAGAGAGGGTTTCCTTGAGATTGTAGTCCATTGCAATTCGTCGATTGATTCATCAGTGAAGGTGATGGTTTGCAATTCTTTCGTGAGTGTTCGAAGGGCTCGAACATCTAGGAAACGCCTTCCTTTACTTGTGTACATTCCAATTGTATGAAGCGTTACGGGAAATGGTGTTGCCTCCGATGTACCAAATGTGTACATTGAGATCTCTCCTTTCTCATCTTCTGGTAGTTCGAGAAACTTTGCAAGGTCGGTGGTAATGTAGCTCTTGCTTGATCCACTGTCCAAAAATGCCATCGTCTTGGTAGATTTGCTCGGATTCGACGGATTGAATACATTGACTTCGGTGCACATCATCAACACTTGTTTTGCTGACGGAATTCTTGAGTCATGTAATGCTGCCACTACGTCGCTGTTTCTTTGAAGTTTAATGTTACTATCTTTGTCGATCGCGTCTTGCATTGAATCATCGACGAAATGTACCTGGCTTTTGCGCTCCTGTCGTTGTGTAGTCTTGTCGTGCACTGGTAGACGCGAAGGCCGTCCCGGTTCTTGGCGCTTTGGTAGATTGCAGATAGACGTATGATGCCGTTTCGCACAATTCTGGCAGCATCTATTCGAAAGACATTCTCGAGTGCGATGTTTACTTGACAGGCAGTTGAAGCATAACCTTTTGTCCCTTACGACTTGCGCTCGTTGCTGAGGGGTGATGAATTTAGTGCAAGTAAAAGTGTTATGCTGAATCGACTCACAGAATGAGCACTTTCGGAATTTGGTCCTCTTGTTTGGAGAACTTCTTGTTTCACTTGATGATCGATTCGACGGATTGAATGGAGTGGATCGTTTTTGCTGTTTCTGTACGCCAACGTATCCTTCTTCGTGTTGTTGATGGAATCGTTTGCAGTGGAAGTCGATTTCTTGAAGCGTTGATTCCTTGTGAACGATGTCTGTCAGCACGTCGAGAAGTTCACTTGGAGCAAGGTTGTGTGTGTTGCCAGTTCTGTCGTAGATTTTGCTGCGCACATATCGAGGGAGTTTGTTGAGCAAGATTGCACCGAGGGCTATCTCCTTCGAGTCATCCTCATATGAGCAGAATTGACGTGTCAAAGAGAACATTTTGTTGTACAGAGATTGTAGATGTTTTCCTTCTGGATCACACGATGGGAGGTTAGCGAGTTGGCTGAAGAGTATATGTCGAGTTGTTACTTTGTCGTCGTACCTTGATTTGAGAATGTCCAATGCAATGTGGTAGTTTTGTCCGGTGAGTGCCAATCCTTGAATTGATTGCAGGGCTCGTCCTTTTAGGCACGATTTCAGTAGGGAAAACTTCGTTGCGTCATCCAGTTGCTTCTTGTCTCCGATGAGCGCACGGAATCTGGCGAAAAATTCTGCATACTCGAGCAAATTCCCATCGAATGTTGGCAGATCCAATCGACTGAGTATTGAGGCGTCTACGAAATTCATCGTTGCAGCAGCTTGTCCAATGGTCTGGTCACGGTGATGTGGATTTGTTCTCGAATCTGTTTCGACTTTGAGATTGCTGTTGTTGTGAAGATCTGCAGAGGCCTTTTGTAGAATTGAAGTGTTGTCTTCTCTGTCGGCAGGAATCGGTAGATGGCGCTTCATGAACTCGGCATCGACAGCATTGAGGATTTCGTCGGCGTTTTCCAATGAGGTGACCGCTTCTTGTACAGCTTTCGTATAGTCGCCGTATTTGTTGATGTAGTCAGCGTAGACCTCTTCTTCTTTTCGATCGGCATTTCGTGCATCGGACCAGCTGTCGTGTAGTTGTTGAATCTTTGAATAAGAGCGGTGAAGTTGAAAGTGAGCCTCTGTGAGGTCGCGTCTGAACTCTGCGATTTCGTCGTTGCTGAGTTGTTCGAAGACTGGTTGCTTCTTTTGTACGTTGTAGTCCAGGAGGAGCTGTTGAATTAATTCGCATTGTTGGAGGAGGCGTTTTTTGACGATTCCGATTTGTCGTCGAATGTTGCCGCTGTTGAACATGATTGGTCAGTTGGGCTCGCAGTTAATAACAATGATGACGTATGTACTGTCGACGTGAAATTGTGGTTGAACTGTCGCAAGTTGCAGAAGGCGATTCAGTATAGTGCCGGTTGTGCAGAGCCGTGAGCCGAGTGAGCTGCTTGTGTGGTGAGACGCTGGCGTTTAGAGCGATCGTCGACGATGTAGAGATGATGACGTTGATGAGGATGGTGTGGAGTCGTTGACGTTGAAGAGCGATGGGCTGCGGTGTAGGATTCGCTTGTCTTGATGAGAGGTCGTCGATGTTTCTGACGGTACGGAGAGTCTGACGTTGATAGACGGTCGTCGACAGTGTGGAATCGTTGATGTAGATGAGGTCTGACCAGCCGTGTAAGATTTTGGTAGGCTCCTTGAGTGGTGCAGAGGTTGTGGAGACGCTGGTGTTCAGAGCGATCGTTGCCGGTGTGTAGGCTCTGACGTTGATGTGGGGTGGACGACCTGGTGAGGACGAGCAGTCTCGTTGAGCGGTGTTGACGTTGCTGGCTTTGAGTGGGATCAGTGCTTGCAGCTTTGTGCCATTGCAGCTGCCGTGGTCGCCATTTGCTGGTCCTTGAAACGTTGGTACGAAACTGTTTATTGCTCCTTCTTGAGGCCCTTATATTCAGTGCAGAGGATAAACATAAAAGCAATTTCTAGCAAGAATATAAAACATATCACTGTATGAATAAGCCTTTAGATGCTTCATAGAACAAGAATGCGCTAAATTGAAAGTTGATTCATGGCAAGGCATTTTGAATATTTCTGTTATTTCTGCAGAAAGGCAGAAAACTGCCACGGCCAATAGTGTGCCCTAAGTATATTTTTTAGCGTTGACTTGTCTGCAATTCAAACAAGTTGCTATGATGAAAAAAATTATTAGCGTGAAAACTAGCGAACCTAAAGAAGCTAAGGAGCTTATAAAGGAGTGGACTGTTTCAAAGGCATTCATGATAGTTACAAAAATACTATCAATGGTAGCGGAAAAATCATTTCCTCTCTCAGTGTTATGAATAGAAATTTCTTCCTGAAGTAGGACACCATCGTTAAAGAACTCCAGTTGTCCTTGAATATCGAAGTTGATCGATCCTCCCGGGCAGAACACAGTGCAGCTCACATTGATATTCGGTGAATCAAAGTTGAAAACCAGTGTATTGATATGGCCGGTAGATGTGCACGTCATCACTTGAAGTTGGTCGCTACATTTGACGTCAATTGTGATTTCTCCACTGGTCGATTGGCACGCTGCAGTGACTCGGGCGCCGTTGAGGCAGTTGTAGCAGCCTGTTATTTCGGACGACTTTATGGTGCATGAGGTGTTCCGTCGCGTATGCGTCATTTTCAGATTCTCGGCGACAACGTGCAGTTGAATCGCTGTTCCAACGTTAGTTTTTGCCAGAATTTTTCCCTCCTTTTGGTAAATCACCACATTTTTGGTAGTCTGTGGCAGTGTTGTCTTTCTGAGTGCTTTGTGAATTTCGCCTCCGCTGCATGAGCAAGTTGCTCTGTTTGTGGCCGCAGAGCAGTGGCATACATTACTGGCGAATGTGCAGTTGAAGTTCTTAGCATCTTCTATAGTGTGGCATTGAAGTTGACCTATTGTATGGGGTAGAAGTT